GGGGAAGAAGGAGGAGGCAGAGGCAGCCCCAAGAGTAAAGATCAGAGAGTGAATGAAAAAAACGGGGTTCTCAAGCAGGTGAAGTTCTCAGTGTCAGCGATCCATTTGTGTCTCATCGCTTCTTGTCGAAAGCAGGCAGTTGCCAAAGTCCCTCCAGTAGACGCCTGTGTCAAATGCAAGGGTCGGGGATTTCTACTGTCAGAGTGGAGTGATTCGTGTTTTCGGTCAAACTCATCGCCTGTAATGCTTTCAGACGCAGAGACATCGTTTTCATCACAGGAGTACGGGATAGGACCGCCCATTTCACAGGCATTCCGCATTCGTCTTGTACCTAACACTACTCTCTTCATACTTTTGTGGCTGCTAACCCACGCCACAGTCATTCATCGCGTGGAGAGTGACTACAAGCAGCTGTGGGACAGCAACAGGGTGGCGACTAAAATGGAAAAAAAAAAACGGGGGAAAAAACAACCAAAAATTGGACTTTGAACGATGACCAGAGCAGAAGGATGGCACCCATCAGCAGAAGCAACGTTGACGCACCATACGCCTGGCGAAGGCACGCACAAACCGTCTTTTCGTTGTCGTCATTGTTAATACTGCACTGACTCACCCTCACAACGCCTGGCCACTTTGGATGGTGCAGCCTCGCCTTGCTCCTCCATTGGATCACGCCTTCTCTTTCCGCCGGACCCACAGCCCGTGCAGCCGCATACTGTGCACCCTTCAAGCCGTTTCATCCGGCGCTGCTCCGCCGGGACGCGGCAAATGCATGTGCCCTCCACACGCGCCTCCCCGCTATTGCCTTCACGCCGGCCGGGCTTGTTGCGATTTGTGTGCTTGCTCACCATGCGCGCCGACGCACTCGCTGTGCCGGGGATGCAGCACGCGGTGCAACACAGGCGCTCATACCCTGGCAACTTCCACCGCCGCACAAGCCCTGCGTCAATAAAGTTCATCTCACAACAGTAATTCAGAACCTCGTTCGATATTGCCTTCTCGAGATAGCACGCACTGAACACATAGCGCGTCCGCTCTCGATTGATGCGGGCGACACGCCAAAGCGGTGGGACTGGCTTCTCCAAATCCACCACTTCAGCCTTCTTCGTGCCGTTCCCGTCCTCCGCAATCTTCTCCGTGCTGCCAGATGCGACACCGCTTCTCTTCGCGCCACTGCCACATGTGGGGAGCTGGGCCTGCTGCGGATCATCGGACAGCACAAGCCGCATCTCTGCATCGTACTCGTCAAGCTTGTCGTTGATCAGCTCAAACCCTGGCGGTGGGCGCCTCATGCCTGGTCGAATCTTGGGCATTGCGCTGGAAAAGAAAGAAAACTGGAACAAAAAGCCAGCAACAAATTCCCCAAAGTCAGATAACACACTCTTCCTCCCCCCACCCCCCAGCAAACCCTAAATAAATAAATGAACCAAAGCAGAGTACAACACACACTCGTGTGCCACCTACAGTACCCAACACAACACGCCCAGGAAAAGCGCATTGCGCACCAGACACTTAAAGACCACCTATCCGTCACCTGGAATACCAATGCGGTTCCTCCAGGAACACTACCAAATGAAAGCAAACACTAAAAGAAGCAAATGCGCACCACCACTCCAGTCTCATAGCACCCACACCATGAGCTGCCCACCCATCTCCAAGCGGTCATCCCACATGACACACCAGAGATCCAAGCAGGTGATGCAGATGCTACCACAACCGAAAATCAGCAACACCAGCTGCAGCAATGCAGAAACGATTACTATTGCAACCTTGTCTTTGTGTGAACATGCGTAGAAGTTTCACGCTCCGGTAAAAATTTCGTTCATCATACGCATGAACGCAGACAAGCGTAACCCAAAATATCATGTGAAGAAACGCCAAAAACGGTCAAAACAAAAAACAACAACAACAACAGCACATCATCAATGCTAAAACTAGCCCAACATCAAACACCAAATTGCATAAGGCATCCAGCAAGAGCGCCACAGACAATGAAGGCCCTTGTGAACAACGCATCAAAAAAAGTGTAGGAAGAAAAATTAGAGAATGAGCAGCAACACAAAAAGCATAGCACATTATGAAACCTTGTGCAAGAACAATTAGAGGAAGATCTCCGCTGTGCATGAATCGCCCCGAGCACCACGTGGCCAGGCGAGGCGGGATTAATACAGCGTCGCCAAAGAAATGGCAGTTCCCCTCATTGCAGATCTTGGTTTTGTGGTCAATTGGCTTCTCGTCACAGAACACCTCCCGCCAGGGTGAGGATGGAATTGCTCTTGTAATCATCGCGGGCAAGTGCAAGCCGGCTGGTGCGGATAGCAACGGCGGAAAAGGAAAACAAAGGGGAAGAAGGAGGAGGCAGAGGCAGCCCCAAGAGTAAAGATCAGAGAGTGAATGAAAAAAACGGGGTTCTCAAGCAGGTGAAGTTCTCAGTGTCAGCGATCCATTTGTGTCTCATCGCTTCTTGTCGAAAGCAGGCAGTTGCCAAAGTCCCTCCAGTAGACGCCTGTGTCAAATGCAAGGGTC